AAGAACTCTGCACTTGAGGAAAGACAGAAGTTGGTGCAATTTTTGATGGGTTTAAATGAAACATATACTGGAGTGAGAGGAAATATCATGATGATGCAACCTTCTCCAATAATTGATAGAGCATATTACCTTCTTCTTCAGGAGGAAAGGCAGAGGAGCATCCAAAATATGGCTCAATATCTCACTGAATCCAATTCTTTTTTTGTACCTGGGCAGAATTTTAATCAGAACAAACAGATAGATGGAAATCCAAATACTTATGGAGGTAATATGGCAGGAACACAGCCTATCAGGAACAATCAGGAATATAGGAAGACTCTATTTTGTAACTATTGCAAGAAGGTAGGACATACCATTGATAAGTGTTTCAAGTTGCATGGTTATCCACAGCAATTCAAAAACTCTAACCAACAGAACAAGTTCCAACATTCAATTCAAGGGAATGCAGTATTTTCAGATGAAGGACCTAGGCAATTTCAAACCAACATCTCTGAGACTGAAGCTACTATTGGTATAAATTAGGGACAACTTACTCAACTGATAGAATTACTTAAACAAGTTAAAATTGGCCAACAAGGTACTACTTCTGAGGCCAGTGTTGTTGCTAATTGTGCTGGTACATCCCTACTTATTCCTACTCATTATTCTACATCTTCTAAGAACTATTTTTGGATCATTGACTCAGGTGCTTCCGAGCACATGACCTTTGATTTTACCATTATGTCTAATGTCGTTACTTTGTCTAGACCTGTCAATATTACTCTACCTAATTCTCATAGAGTTAGAATCACTCATGCAGGACAAGTGACAATTCACCCTTTATTAACTCTACAAATAGTACTTTATGTCCCAACTTTCAAATTTAAGTTGATTTATGTTCATCGATTATGTGAGCAGTTTCATGCTATTCTTACCTTTAGTGATTTTGCATGTTTCTTGCAGAGCCTTTCCTTGAGGAAGTCTCTAGTTCTTGGTGAAATCAAGGTTGGGCTCTACCCTTTGCATTATGTTCATCTTCCTGTTGATTCCCTACACATAGATAATAAAACTTCAGCTATTAAGCATAGTTCTAAAACTTTGTCTAATGTTGTCAATGTTTTACATTCCTCTATGTCTAGTTCTACTGCTTCATGTGATAGTCTTTGGCATGTAAGGATGGTTCATTTACCTATATCTACCATGAGATATATTCCCATTTATAAACAGCAATGTTCTAGTGCAAATGTTTCCCCTTGTTCTATTTGCCCTATGGCTAGGCAACACAAGTTATCTTTTCCCAATAGCACTAGTTGTACCTCTCATGTGTTTGAGCTAATCCACATAGATACTTAGGGACCATATAAAGTCCCTACTCATGATGGTTTCAGATATTTTCTTACTATAGTGAATGACTATAGTAGGGGCACATGGACTTTTCTCCTATGCACTAAAAATAATACATTTACGGTGTTGCAATCCTTTATTTCAATGGTAGAGAGACAATTTGACACCAAAGTCAAAAAAATCAGATCTGATAATGCCCTTGAACTAGGCAGCAACATTGCTGCCATAGCTTATTTTTTTTCTAAAGGAATTATATACCAAACCTCTTGTGTAGGAACCCCTTAACAGAATGGTATTGTTGAACGAAAGCACAAACATTTGCTAGAAACTTGTAGAACTCTCCTGTTTCATTCTAAAATGCCTATCTGTTACTCGGGAGAATGTCTACTTACTGCTACTTTTCTCATCAACAGATTTCCTACCAATCTTCTTCACTATAAAACACCTTATGAAATTTTATTTCACAAGTCTCCTTATTACACTTTTCTAAAATGTTATGGCTGCCTATGCTTTGCTTCTACTTTATCTCAACATAGAAGGAAACTTGATCCTCGAGTTGATGCTTGTATTTTTCTTGGTTACCCTTTTGGTAAGAAGGGCTACAAACTCTTAAACCTACTTACCAAACACATTTTTGTCTCCAGAAATGTTGAGACTTTATTCGATCGTATGGACCTATTCCCATTTATGGCAGTTTTTCACGAGACAATGTTTCCATTCTTTATCTTAAACACTGAGTCTTCACCTTTGTTTCCTAGTACTACACCTCAGATCTTAGTCTCCTCCCCTAGCTATCCTTCTTTTCCTATACATGTTCCCTCTACTTTTGTCCCTTCTGCTTCTCAGTCTCCTACTACTATTCCTAGCTCTCATTTTCCGTCCTCTTCTATTCCTTCTTCCTCTACTTCACATATTTCCCTTTCTCTCTTCTCTTCCTCTAGTTCTTCTTCCTCCCATGTACCTAGTCCCTCTCTCCTTTATCTGATGCTTCTTCTTCCTCTCCTGACCCTTTACACACTTCCTTGCGCAGGTCTTTTAGGGATCACAAAACTCCCTCCTACTTAGCTAATTATGTATGTAATGTTGTGCATTTAGCTGATGTTTCTACCTTTTGTTTTCTTTTCCTTGTTTCCCCTTTGCAATTTTCTTTCAATGCTTTATCTTCCTTTAATGAGAAGTAGCTTAATTCTCTTCCCCATATCCAAGAACCTTCTAGCTATTCCCAGGCAGCTATGCACCCCCGGTTGGCAAGAAGCTATGGCCAAAGAACTTGATGCTTTGTTGCTCAATGAGAGTTGGGAAGTGGCCTCTTTCCCCCTGGTAGAAAGACTTTACCATCTAAGTGGGTCTATAAGAATAAATTGAAATCTGATGAGAGTGTGGAGAGATTGAAGGCTCGTTTGGTGATTCGTGGTGATATACGGAGAGAATGAGTTGATTTTACAGAAACCTTCTCTCTGGTGGTCAAAATGACCACCATACGTTGCATCCTAGCTTTGGCAGTCAAAAGGAATTGGGGACTTTTTCAGTTAGATGTGAACAATGTGTTTCTTCATGATGACCTCCATGAGGAGGTCTATATGAAATTTCTAGCAGGCCTTACACCTGCTGCTCCTAATCTTGTTTGCCGACTTAAAAAGTCTCTATATGGTCTACGTCAGGCTTTTCGCCAGTGGTATGCTCGTTTAACTACAGCTCTGAACTTTCACTTAGCTTATTTTCTGGGCATGGAAGTCCTTCGTGAGGATTCTGGCATCATTCTCAGTCAACGAAAATTTACTCTTGAGCTTTTGGAGGAGTTTGATTGCCTTGATTTGTCGCCAGCCAGTACCCCGTTGCCCGTTGGATCCTTCTATCAAGTTGCATGTTGACCATGGGGTTCCCCTCTCTGATCCTACTTTATACCATCGTCTTCTGGGAAAACTCAATTTTTTGACGCATATGTGTCCTGATCTTTCCTTTGTCGTTCAGCACTTAAGCCAATTTATGCAGGTTCATCGTGATCTTCATCTCCAAGCTGCTCATCACTGTCTATGCTATTTGCTTATAAAGCCTGGTCTTGGTCTGTTCATGCCTGCTTCCCCTTCTTTGGATCTGCTTGCCTTCTGTGATTCCGAGTGGGGTTCTTGCCCTGATTCGCGCCGATATGTTAGTGGTTTCTTTGTTAGCCTTGGTGGTTGTCCTATTTCTTGGAAATCCAAGAAACAACAGTCTGTCTCGTTATCTTCCGCTAAAGCTGAGTACCGCTCCATGCATCGTGTTGTTGCTGAGCTCACCTGGTTGGTCCGTCTCCTCGATGACCTCTCGATTCCGCCGGTTTTGCCTAGTCCTCTACATTCTGACAGCTAGGCGGCGATCCATATTGCCAAAAAACCTGGTCTTTCACGAGCGTACTAAGCACGTTGAACTAAACTGTCATTTTGTCCGTCAACAGCACCAGGCCGGTCTGATTTCTTTGTCCTTCATCCCTTCGTCTTCGCAGCTCGCTGATATTTTTACTAAACCACTTTTTGGGCCTTCTCATCGGGACTGTTTAGGCAAGTTGGGGATTCTTCAGGCATCCTCCACCTTGAGGGGGAGGATGTCGCCGGAGAAGCTTCGATGGCCGATGAGGATCATGGGTGACGGCTAGGGTATCTATTTCTTGGTGGAATCGATTTAAAAGAGTAAAGAGACAGGGTCTCGTATACAGCTTTAAGTTTCCGGGTCGGTTTAACATCCGCTCATTTGGGCTGCCACGTGTCGCTCATCTGAGTTTGGCCAGCTAATTCCAGCCATCCATGACAGTTGTATCTATTGTTAATTAGTTAATTATAATATTGTTAGTTAGACTAGTCGATTAGAGAGAATACATGTATATATATTACACATTGTACATTGTACAAAGCAGTTGAGAAATACAATTTAACAAATTTTATTCCAGAATCTTCCATGAAATTCAACATCCATTCCTATTACAATTTACATACTGTACTTATTATTTACTGTACATCAGGTCTTTACCTGAAAGCGCTAGGCTTTTATCACCTCCCC